TGTGAAGGCCAGAAGCCTGTGCCCTTCATCCTTCTGGAAGCCTGCTACTTTGATGTAGAGGCACAATTTCACCTCTTCAAAGCACAATTTTGTTGCTAAATACTGTGCGCTTTGATGCTTCCAATGGCTTAGCAAAGCCTGTACAGCCACAAATTCAGTCTTTTCTCTAAGTCATACTTTCAGCAAACACTTTTACTACCATGGATGGTGGGCGTTTTCAAAACAATTTTGTTCAAATACACTTTTGGTCTAATTGTTCTTCCTTTGATTTATTTGTCCCCTCTCACATAAGCAGCAAGAAGAACCCAGTTGACATCTTTGGCACCTTACAGGGCAGTGACTTCGCTGTGCAGTCCATGATCACAACCTTGGTTGGCAGCATCCTGGCAAGACACGATTTTCCTGAGCTTTCTGCCACTATAGACCAGGGATTCTCTTTCTTTCAGTTTCTGATAACAGATCTGAACTGCCCTCTGGGCCTCCCAGGCTCTGCGAGTCCAATTTCCCACCATCTGGGCGGGCAGTCTAGGCTTTACCCTTCAGGCTCCTTAAAACACATCTGACCACAGGAGCTCAGACTGCTCCTATGCACCCATGTTTGTTACAGCACAGCCACTGTAACAAAATGCCATGAACCAGGTGGCATATAATCCACAGAATTTCATTTCTTATAGTGTTGGGGGTTTCAAGTTCAAGATCCAGGCACGACAAATTTGGTATCAGTGAAGTGAGGGGGTGCTCTCATAGATTCCTGTCTTCTCACTCYAACCTCACATGGCAGAGGGCTAAGTGGTCTCCCTTGGGCTCTTCTGTCATGGGACAACCCCATTTCCAGGGCTCTGTCCCCCTGAAATGATCACTCACAGAGGTCCCACCATCTCAGGGGGGTGAAAGTCTCCATATATGGATTTTGAAATGACAAAAACATAGATTAAGTATTATCTATATTATTATTTGCTATATTATATTATGTATGCAATTATATATTATATAAGCACAGAATTTGTATAGTTATGTCTATGATTTGAATGGGGTTTGTGACCCCCTACAGGACTCAGGAGTTAAAACCCCACTTGGAAGTATTAAGGGGGTGGAAATTGAATCTGACTATGGATTTTAGAAGTGAGGTCTTTGAGAAATGGTTAGGAATGGATAAAATCATCAGATTAGATTAAATCCTGGTAACTGTAGAAGAGGGGAGAGACCAGAGAGTAGACATGCACACACACTGAGCCATTTCTTACCATGTGATGCCCTTTATGACCTTGGCGCTCTGCCAGCACCAGATGCAGTCCTGGACTGTTATGGTTCGGATGTGAGGTGTTCCCCAAAAGCTCACGTGTGAGATGATGCATGAAGTTTCAGAGGAGGAATGATTGATTGGGTTATAAGAATCTTAACCCCATCAGTGAATTAATTCCCTGATAGGGATTAACTGAGTGGTAACTGAAGTGGTAGGGTGTGGCTGGAGGAGGTAGAAACTGGGGTGTGGCTTTGGGTATATATTTGTTTCTGGCAAGTGGAGTCTCTCTCTACTTCCGGATACGATGTAAGCTTCTTTCCTCCGCTATGCTCTCCCGCCATGATGTTCAGCCTCACCTCAAGTCCTGAGGAATGGAGCTGGCCTGCTATGGTCTAAGACCTCTGAAACCCTGAGCCCTCAAATATCAGGAAATACCTTGATTTCAATGAATAAGGACCTGGTCTATGCCCACATAGTTTATTACCCATGATTCCATGTTTGTTATATGTAATGGTAGAATTTTGGATGATTTTAGCCAATGAAGCAGAAACAAAACATCATGATAAAAAAAAAAAAAGCACTTCAAACACCCTAATCTATACAGGATGCTACAGCTACATGCCACAGCTCATCAACAACAGAAACACGGAGCTCACAGTTCTGGGGGCTGGAGGTCCAAGATCAAGGCTCACGCAGCCTTTTGTCTGGTCAGTGCCCCTTTCCTGGCTCACAGTGGGAGCTCCTCCCTGTGCTACACAGCAAGGAAGAAGAGCCAAAGCAGCTGAGACCTTTCATCAAGGCACAAACCCCTTTCACGAGGGATCTGTCCTCATAACTGAATAGTCTCCCAAGTACCTAAAGCCTCACACTGGTGATTAGATCTCCAATATGGGCATTTGGGAAAGACAGACAGCCAGAACACAGTGGTCAGCATGACACTGGGGGGGTGTGAAGGTTGTGGTGGAGGCTTACTGTAACTGTACAAGGTGATCACGAGAACGCCATCTAACTCTCCCCAACTCTAGTGGTCATTTATCCACTGTACAGGCACATCAAGGGTCAGGGGCTCTTTTCCCCTAGGCAGGAAGAACACAGTGGCTCACTCACCAAAACTGGATTGACTCCCAGAGACGATTTAATCTTTCAGAGCCAATAGATATATCAGAAAATGTTAATAGGGTTTCAAATACCTACTGAAATAAAGATGCACTAACTCTAACATATTACCCAGCTCCAGAAGTGAAAACATGGTTCACAACATGCTGTTGAAACCTGACGTCACATGGGGAAGGACGTTGATCACACCTACATGTAGTGTGGTATCAATTTGCCATTTCTTATATATGTAGGCCACTAAAGATTCATAGAATTTAATAATCTATTGTAGAGTTAAAAAGAACCACAGATGCTAGTGTTTTTTTTTGTTGTGGTACTGAACAAAGTAGTAGACCAGTCATGCTGGATGCCAGTTGACGGTCCATTTCCAGGCTGAGTCACTATCCGCAACCTCCTTACAGGCACCCACGCAGTTCTTCTAGCTCACAGCTCACGTGACCTAGGCAGCTCCCCTCTAGTTGTGCTCAGTAGCTCCCTGTGATGGTCCAACACTGATCTGACCTTAGGCGTTGATCCACATGCAGGAGCATGCGTCTGTGTAGCTATCACACTGTGAACCACAACACAGAGCCCAAGAGGAGCACACCTTCTCTCTGGCGTTTGTCATGACCCCGCTGGTTTCCCATCTTCGTCAGCTTCCTCCAGTTGACTACTCTCCTCGAGAAAACCCAGAAAAGAACAGAGGGCACCTCTTCCATTTTGACCAGGCAACTTCCATGAGCCAACATTTTGCATAATTATTGCATTTCCTTAATACACAGCTTAATATGATTTTTGTCTATATAGTTTGGCTCATATTGAGTCTAAATGAATCTTTAAATCTTAAGAGTCAAGATTCCTCCATGCTCTTGTTTAGTTGATTTTTAAAATATAATAATATATTTTTCATTTTAAGCCTAATGCATTAAAAATACAGTTCTGATAATAATTTCAGATTTTTCATGATATTTAAAAAATCTAGAATATGTATGTCATCTAACGTATTAGATTGCCTTCCATATTTTTGTCATTTAAATTTAATTAAAATGGTATTGTCCAAAATGGGGAAAAATATTGAATAAATAAAGGACCCTATGGAGTGGCCAAATATAGCCAATCAATATCTATATCTATATCTATATCTATATCTAGATAGCTCACATAGTTTTTGTGGTAAAATCAATACTTGCTACCAGCAGTATTCAAGAACAAGATACATTACTATTAGCTAGATTGAACCTTTTCACAATGTATATATGCTTCAAACCATCATGGTGCAAATGATAAATATATACAACTGTATCTGCCACTTTAAAGAAATAAAGAAAATATTTATTAAACTTCAAAAAATGGTTAAGAAGGTATATTTTATGTGATTGTGTATCTTATCACAAATGCAAACTAAAATAATTTAAAGTAGACATAATCCTAAACCTTCACCAAAGGTACCATTAATTAAATTTGCAGAGCAATCTGTAGGAAGATATTAAACTGTTATACTGTAGGATGAACTCCTTCATATTGTAGTCCAGAAAATGTTAATACGGTTTCAAATACCTACTGAAATAAAGATGCACTAACTCTAATATATTACTCAGCTCCATGGTTTATAACATGCTGTTGGAATCTGACATCACATTTGGAATGACATTGATCAACTGGAGGGTGGTACCAAGATTTAAGAAGATTGAGTGACATTTAGTGGTTCTAACCTCATGAAGGTCTCCACTGGGCAACTAGTGGGAAATTTAAAACCAAAATTATTATTATTATTATTTTTTTTTTTTGAGGCTGAGGATGTAGCTCAGTGATAGAGCACTTGCCTAGGGAATGTGAAGCTCTGGGTTGCAAAAGAAAGAAAAGAAAATGTGCTGTCCAGGGGCCATTGTGCACTGACCATAACAAAAAACTGTGAAATCTCATCAGCATTGTATTGTCTTTTTTATTTAAACAAGTGTATGGTTTTGAAATAAAAGGTAATGATTCTTGAAAGCTGAATTTATCAGGATTCTTTTTGATTTGCAGAACCTTGTAAAATATGAAATTCTCAGGGTTTCTCAGATGTTGCAAACATGTCTATTGATACAATTCACTATTTCTTAGGATATAAGTTTCTAACATTGCTGCAGAGGCTAACTTTGAGTATCACCTATGGTGTCATTGTTGACATTTTTATGAAGCTTTTTCTATTTGCTGATTTTTGAAGCAATTCCCTCTCTTTCCATGCTTTAATTGTGACTCTGTAATCACAAACCTATTTTAAATAAATGGGACTGCAAGAGAAGCTTACTAAAGTGAACCTACCAAATATTTTTATGCAGGTTTTTAAGATTTAAACTCAGACTTCATCAGAAGCTGCTGCTGCAGTTCCGCATGCTTCGAAAGAGCTAAACCAAAGACAAACAAGACCCATCATTTCCCCATTGTATAGGTAACTCTCACAAGCAAGGCCATGATGCATATGCCAAAATAAGTCATCAGAATGTAATGTGTCACTCTTTGGCCACTAGATCAAAACCAAAGAAATCTCAGTGATTTAGCCACTTCTTAGAGAACACCCTGCTGTGCTCAGACTGCGTGAAGAAAACACTATTACCGGGTTATGAGACTAGCATCATATGACATATTTGAAGGACATACAGTCAAGTSCAGAGAATCTTACGTTCTTGAAAGGATGTGAAGAGCATCTGGAATCGGCTGTTTCGACTACCCTCGTCTGCCCACATGCGGATCACCCCCAGACCAGTGCGGAGCATCACGTCATTAGCCACAGTGCTGCAGAACTTAGCTTTTAAATCCTCCACAGAACTGCTTCCATCGTACACAGCCACAAAGTTTCTTTTGCATTCATTTGAATTCTGCATCTCATAATCTAAGAACCGTAAGTAAATCTGTAAAACAAAGATAAAAACATTTCTTCATTTCAAAAATGTAGATCAGAAAGTACCAGAACTTCCTTTCTCTTTCAGGCTCACAAGACAGTCTTGATTGCAATCAGTCTTATTATTTTCCCCCAGTGGAGAGCAAGAAGATGTACAAGCAAGAACAAATTGTGTTGAATAATTTTTTTCAATATTATTATCTTTTTTTACTTAAACGTATCATTTTCCTTAACTGAGTATTTTTACCCAAATGATCCTTATCTATTTTCATAACTTATTTGGAATCACTTATTAGTTTTGCAAACTTATACACTTCTTTGCTTTGGTTAGAAAAATGCTTTAAATATTCCTGACACATTCTTGTTAAAATTCCATAGCTTCATTTTACTTCCAAAAAATATATGGAAAGAAACAATTTGTTAACTATTAAAGGAAAACAAAAATGGTATCAAAAGTCTCTGATTTTAGGGGGTTGACATTATTTAACATGACTACCCTGCTTCATTTTTGATGTGGAGTATATTGTAAATTAAAAATGGCAAAACTAGTCTACACCATTTTCACCATACTTGGAGTCAAAGCATTTAGCTAAATCCACATAAATAAATATTAATTTAACAATGAGAAAAAAGCACGTGTGACCTAAAGCACTTGTGACCTATATTGTATGCTACATTTTAAAACTCCCAACAATTCCATCAGTAGCTCCTATGCTATCTTATTCAGATGTGAAAACTCAGACTCTGAAGGTATAAACTGGAAGGTAGTAGTGAGCTCTGTCTCACACCCAGTCCACGTYCTTCCACATGCCACATTGATTCAGACACACTGATTCTTGATCTACAGACACTATTTGATTCCATACCAACATTTATTCAGAATCACAAGCAACTGTTTCAACCAGAGATAAGTCTTTAAGGAGCTGTTTGTTCATTCACCATCCATTCTGCAGTCTCAGCAGGTTGGCCTCTTACTTGGCCCCAGACACAATCCAAGGCCTTGCGCCTGCAATGGTGACCAGCAGGAGGAAAGCCAGTGCTGACCCATGTGTCCATCGGGTCATGACACCAGGAAACCACGTCAAACTGTGGGGATTGTATGAAGAAAGACAAAGCCAGACTAAAAAGCCTAGGCACAATGGGAGGGGTACTCAGATGGTTCTGGAATGAACTGCAGCCTTCACATAGGATCCCCCAAGGGCTTGGCTCTGTTTTTTAACATGCTTATCTATAGGCTACTTTGTTTTACATCTGTTTCTCTTGATGTTGCATGATGAGAAAATAAAATATGCATTACATTAAAAATGCATATCTTTCATCCTCCTGCGTTCATTTTTCTTTATTATGTAAACATTGAATCTCATGAGAACTTTCCCTCAAATCTGATATGTCCACCCTCAATTTTAAATTCCTGTATCTCAATTAATAGAGATGGTCTTTTGTACTCAATGTTCTTGTCAAATTAAGCACCAGCCCCTGCTAAGTTTACCTTCAAAACCACTGTTTTTGGTCCACAACAGATGACACCTGAATACAGCCTGCCACAGGGCCTGGATGTTTGCAGGTACAGACCCTCCAGTCTATACCCAAACCCAACTTTACCCCACTATATTTCTAAGTAATGAATCTAATAATCCCAACTCTGTAGTCAAAATCTTGAACTGGTTTAAAATAAAAATATTTAAAAACCATAAAGTGGCAAATTTGCCCTCCTTCTTATGCCCTCAAATTACATTTATTTGTTACAATGTCATCCTATTTGTACACGATGTTAGTTTATACCGTACACCACGACCTTCTGCCAGCCTMTTCCAGAGTCGTCATGGTCTAGTTCAGTTGCTGCATGTCTGGTTTGGAATTTTTTGTGATGCCTACTCCCTAACCCTAGCACAGCCTTTCTCAACACCCTCTATGCTACAGTGTGATTTTGAATGTACATTAAACTGAAATTACAGCTGATATATTCCTTCTGCTAACCTATGTGCTCATGAAAAGATGGGGCAGTGCTTTATATTTTCATGCCCTAAGCCTTCAAGCATGTTTTGAAAATATTAAGCATTCCACAAAAGTTCTGGAATCCACAGAACATAATTTGGTCAACTTTTGTTATGTGTATGGGATAATATGTAACAACGAAGTCCTATATTATGTATAATTAAAATGTACCACTTAAAAACTTTTAAGCTGGATGGGGTGGCTTAATCCCAGGGATTTAGGAAGCTGGGGCAAGAGAATGACAYGTTCAAAACCAGCCTCAGCAAGTTACGAAGGCCCCAACCAATTTAGTGAGATGCTATCTCAAAAGAAAAATTCAAAAAGGGGCTGAAGATGTGGTCCAGTGGTGAAGCACCCCTGGTTCAGTGCTCAGTAATAAGCAAACAAACAAAAAAATWTTTTAATTAAAAGAGAAAAAAAATGTTTGAGAATGTACATACCTGCAAATAATTAAATAATTAGAAATCCTGTTTTCTAAACTGATTTCATTTTAGCATTAATCAACTGTTTGTTGGGAATCTATAAGCCAGATATTTGTTTTAAGTGCTAAAAATAATAATTATCTAGAATCATYATTTTATTATATAGTAGGAAATTATTTGAAATAATGATTAAAACAAGGTATGGTGCAGATCTAAAGAATAATGAAGTATATAAAAAACAAACATGTGCAGTCTTTCAGGAAGCTGGAAATGTATTTTGACATCCTAGAGAGGCTGTCATAACATAATTTTGGGAAGAAGAACAAAACAGAGAAATACAAAGAATTCAATGAAAATGAGCATCAGTGGAGAACCCTGGAGCTCCAGGGCACGCTGCCTGGCTACAAGGTTTCTGCATCTAGGCAATAAAAATACTTGGGCTGGAGGCCGTCATGAAGTTCCAATACTGTGATGATGCATTTGAATCAACTGCTACTGTGGCAGCCACGTGACACACACATGCCAAGAAAGCCCGAACTGTCCTCATGCCTGGGTTGATGCYTTATGTTATTCCATTACGAGTGCAAATATTACTCGCATGGCCCATTTATCCTCTATTTTTCCAACACGGTACTAAGCTCCTGAAACAATCTGGAGAATTCCTGCGATGTCTAGTTTAAGGAAGCATGYATCCAAAAAAATGTTAGCATCCAAGTTGTTGCCAATCACTGCCCTCTGTGTGTCAAATATCCAGGCAGATTCTTTAAAAGGAAGCCCCCCACCCTACYCGATGGATGATCTTACTAGAAACATGAAGCAAAGAAGACACAACAACTTGCACCAGATATATAAACAAAGTAACGTGAGGCCTAGAATAGGATGAATAGGATCAAAGAGAAATAAATAATCCTAGATTAAGCATTTTGCCACAATACCTTGCCTTCTTCTGACTAACTGTAAACAAATGAAAATACAATAAAAATAAAAGCTAAAGTTTAGGTATTCATCTAAGATAACAAAAAATTTAAATGAAAAATAAAGTTAAATAAATACATTACATTCTAAAATAGTATGCAACATAGTTTCTCACCTCTCAAAAGAAAACACAATTTCAACTGAAAACATACAAACTTATCACAAAGATGAACACCCACGGGTAGGAAGGCAGTCTATTCACTCTCTGATGGGCGGTACAAACTAATCATCCTCTCAATAGTTCTGAAAGTTATGAAAACCAAACACTATGCCCATAGAAGGAAAGACACTTGAAGTAATTGTTTGAAGGAAAAATTCGTAAGGAAATCATTTCACTAAATAAAGAATAAAACACACCTGATGTTTTCAAGCCTAATGTGTCTGAACAATTACCTCAAGTTTCTTATTCTGCTGTACAATACAGCTTGAAATTCTAATGTATTATTAGGAAAAGAAAGTTTGCTTGGTATGTTGGCAGCAGCTCCTGACAGTGCACCACTTTACTCAGTTCCCTAACCAATAGCTACTTAGCTTAACCATTAAGATGAAGAAAAATGAGTTTAGAAAAATTAACATATTTTTCCAAAGTGGCTCAGGCCCTTAAACAATGGCTTGATTTTAAGAACAACTCTGCCTGGCACATCACTGCTCCTGGTCTCACTATGTGAGCAGCCTCATAAAGAAGGAAGCTCAAGATGGAGATTCCAGGAAGAAAGCTAGACTCTTAAAGACAACAAGCTGCAGCGAAAATAAGTAATCAAAGAGAAATAAACAAGCAAGCAAAGCAAAGCATTTCCATTTTCCTAAAGGATCTAAGAAACATGTTGACTGTCAAAACATAAAAGAAATTCATAGATCAGAAATGTGTTCCTTCAAAATTGATGATTGTATTACAGTTCTTTAAAAATAGAATTATTTGCCAGCACAGTGGTGCAATGCCTGTAATCCCAGTAGCTCAGGAGGCTGAGGTAGGAGGATTGCAAGTTAAAAGCCAGCCTCAGCAACTTAGTGAGACCTTGTCTCTAAGTAAAATACAAAAAAAAAAAAAAAAAAAAAAAAAAAAAAAAAAAAAAAAAAAAAAAAAAAAAAAAAAAAAGGCCAGTAATGTAGTTCAGTGGTTAAGTGCCCCTGGGTTCAAAGCTTGGTACCAAAAATAAAAATAAATAAATAAATTATTATAAGAATATCACCATAGTTAGAAAGTCAGTTAGCATGTTTGGTTCCTGCGTCGTCACTGACAGCAATGGAGAGTCTCCATATTTTTTAGGAGGTAACTGACTGGCATTTGTACATGAAGTGCAATGACTGCATCGAAGTACTTCCTATATTTAAAGGGCATTCTTAGTAAGTAGAGCACTATTTATAGAGGACGTGAACAATTACCATCACTAGATTTTATATAATCACTTCTGAAGCATTTTATGCTTTTTCTGGACTTCAGTTTTTATATCCTATAGAAGAAGAAATAAAACAAGCTGGTAGGGTATTGGCTGTCCTTGTTCAGAGCTGTCAGAGCAAAGGCTGGATTCCATCATCCAGAAAAGGTGACCAAGTGTCCCTCACTAGCCCTCCTGTAAGTCATGTGAAATCCCTCCCCGTGCCGAGATCGGAGCAACTG